ACGTTTCTTCTTTGTTTTAGATGCAGTCTTACTGCTATTTCTTATATTCTGGGATTTTGCTGTAAATGTCTGTTTTAAGATTCTCCACAGAAAGTGGTTCTAAACTGTTGCATACACACATCAGTTTAACTCTGTAAGTTGAACGCACACACTGACAACCATTCTTTTAGATAGCTCCATTCTCGTTTTAGAATCAGATGTTTCTCATTACAGCATATACTCCCATTCAATCGGGAATGTCCAAACACAGCTAATAGAAGAAGCATGTTTCTAATTCACTGAATCTAAACATAGATGTAACTCCCTTAGTTGAATGAACACACAGCAGAGCAATTTGAAAGATACGTTTCTTCTTTGTTTTAGATGTAGTCTTACTGTTATGTCTTATGTGCCGGGATTTTGCTAGAAATGCCTGTATTTAGACTCTCCGCAAAAAAGAGTTTCTTATTTATTTATTTATTTATTTTATTGCATTTTAGGTTTTGAGGTACATGCGAAGAACATGCAAGATTGCTGCATAGGTACACACATGGCAGTGTGATTTGCTGCCTTCCTCCCCTTCACCTATATCTGGCATTTCTCCCCATGCTATCTCTCCCCACCTCCCCAATCCCCTGTCCCTCCCCCATTTCCCCCCAACAGACCCCAGTGTGTAGTGCTCCCCTCCCTGTGTCCATGTGTTCTCATTGTTCAACACCTGCCTATGAATGAGAACATGCAGTGTTTGATTTTCTGCTCTTGTGTCAGTTTGCTGAGAATGATGGTTTCCAGGTTCATCCATGCTTTTTGAAACACTACATTCAAATTGTTTGACAATCCTCCCATCCCCTCTTTCAACTTGAGCAGGACTTTTTGACTACCTTGACATAGAATGTGGAAAAAATATATATACGTTACATGACTTCTGAGACTCAGAAAGGCTACGCGGCTTTGCTAGTTTCTCTTAAGATGCTTGCTCTTGAAACCTAACCACGATGCTATGAGAGAGCCCAGGCCTGATGGAGAGGGTAGGAAGTCCAGCTAACAGCTAAACTCAACTACCAGATCAGTAAATAAGAAAGTCTTTGAGATGACTCCAGCTTCAGCCACTGAAACCATAATAAATCCCAAATGAAAACCACCCGAGCCCAGACATCCCCCAGAAACACAAAAGACAATAATGAATGCCAGTTTTTGATTTGTTTTTTTTGAGATGTAGTTTTGCCCTTGTTGCCCAGGCTGGAGTACAATGGCAAGATCTTGGCTCACTGTGACCTCTGCCTCCCTGCTTTAAGCAATTCTGCTGCCTCAGCCTCCCGAGTAGCTGGGATTACAAGCATGTGCCACTATGCCCGGCTAATTTTGTATTTTTAGTAGAGACGGGGTCTCTCCATGTTGGTCAGGCTGGTCTCAAACTCCTGACCTCGGCTGGTCTCAAACTCCTGACCTCAGGTGATCTGCCTACCTTGGCCTCCCAAAGTGCTGGGATTACAGTGAGCCATCGCGTCCGACCACCTGTTGTTGTTTTAAGGCACAAGGTAATGAATACTCGTAGCCAAAAAAAAATGGGGAGTTCTTCTTTAAAAGAAAATTAATAAACTGTCCAGAAATAGCTAATCAGTTAGTATGGGTGCTGGTATTCCAGAACAATATGCTGGCAGTTAGGAAGTCCGCAAGTTTAATAACCTTGTTCCTCATTATTCTCCTTGAATATCTGGTCTGATTACTAGCAATACGGATCTTTAGATAATTGAGGAATCTCTACACCCTAAAATAAAAGAATCAGGATGAACAAAGGGAAAACGATGCATCCAGAAGAACATGTGTATCAAGGGACACAAGTGAATCTAAAAAAGAGCTCTGAGTATGATAAGAACAGAGAATAAAATGCTCTAAAATAGGAACAAGTGGAGAATACAAAAAAACTCACAAAAATTAGACAAAATAAAAAAATACATATGTATGTTTTCAATTAGCAGTTGGAGGATAAAATATAGAAATCTTCTAGAAACAAGGCTGGGCACAGTGGCTCATGCCTGTAATCCCAGCACTTTGGGAGGCCAAGGCGGGCAGATCATGAGGTCAGGAGTTCGAGACTAGCCTGACAAACATGGTGAAACCCCGTCTCTACTAAAAATACAAAAATTAACTGAGGTGGTGGTGCATGTCTGTAATCCCAGCTACTCAGAGGCCGAGGCAGGAGGATCGCTTGAACCAGGGAGGCAGAGGTTGCTGTGAGCTGAGATCGCATCATTGCACTCCAGCCTGGGTGACAGAGTGAGACTCTGTCTCTCAAATAAAAAAAAAGAAGAAAGAAAGAAAAAAAATAAATCTTCTAGAAAACAGAACAAAAAGACAAAAGGAAAATCAAAGAATAGGACATATGGAGGATTAATTTAGGAAATCTATTACATGACTAATAAAAGTTCCAGAGAGAAGAAGGCAATGGAGAGGTAAACTAATCAAGGAGAAAAAATTTCCACAGATTCAGCAAATAAATCTTTGAATTAAAACAACTCAAATAAGCAAAATTAGCCATTTGTCACCATCTCTACTGCTACCACTCTACTCTAAGCAACCACCACCTTTCACACAGATTACAACAATCTTCCAAATATTTTACTTATTTCTCCTTACTTCTGTCTCTCACCAGAATATAAGCTCTGTCTACTTTGTTTACTATTTTATCTAGACCTAGAACAGCATCTAGCACCTAGGTGCTCAACAAATATTTACTGACTCAATGACCAACGAGGCAAGATGCTAGAAGATTCATTTTCTCTCTCTCTTTTTTTTTTTTGAGACAATGCCTTGCTCTGTTGCCCAGGCTGGAGTGCAGCGATACAGCCTCGGCTCACTGACACCTCTGCATCCTAGGTTCAAGTGATTCTCCTGCCTCATCCTCCTGAGTGGCCGGCATTATAGGCATGTGCCACCACGCCTGGCTAATTTTTGTATTTTTAGTAGAGATGAGATTTTGCCATGATGGCCAGGCCAGTCTCAAACTTCTGACCTCAGGTGATCCACCTGCCTCAGCTTCCCAAAGTGACGGGATTACAGGCATGAGCCACGGTACCTGGCCAAGCCTTTTGTTTTCTAAATTCCTGTACCCTGAAACATTTTTACCAAATCATGCATTGCTTTCCTAATTAAAAAAATAATACAGGCTGGGCGCAGTGGCTCACACCTGTAATCCCAGCACTTTGGGAGGTTGAGGCGGGTAGATCACCTGAGATCAGGAGTTCAAGACCAGCCTGGACAACATGAGGAAACTCTGTCTCTTCTAAAAAATACAAAAATTAGCTGGGAATGGTGGCAGGAGCCTGTCATCTCAGCTACTTGGGAGGCTGAGGCAAGAGAATTTCTGGAACCTGGGAGGTAGAGGTTGCAGTGAGCTGAGATCATGCCATTGCACTCCAGCCCCAGCCCACAACAGTAAAACTCCGTCTCAAAAAACAAAACAAAACAAAACAAAAAACAAACAAAAAAAAAACCAATCAAATAAATTAATTAAAATAGTATTACAGGCCGGGCCCGGTGGCTCACGCCTGTAACCCAGCACTTTGGGAGGCCGAGGCGGGAGGATCACGAGGTCAAGAGATCGAGACTATCCTGGTCAACACAGTGAAACCCCGTCTCTAGTAAATACAAAAAGAATTAGCTGGGAGTGGTAGTGTGAGCCTGTAATCCTACTTGGGAGGCTGAGGCAGGAGAATCGCTTGAATCCATGAGGCGGAGGCTGCAGTGAGCCGAGATTGCACTATTGCACTCCAGCCTGGGTAACAAG